TTCTTCAATCTTCAAACTGATGTTGCTCCGGCTGATCAAGTGCTCAGTTTTATTTTGCTTTGTGCTGTTACTCGAGCATTGCGCAAATGCGTATGTATGTGTGTATCTTCATGACCCAATAAGTTCATAAATTTCGTAAAGTAAATATAGAAATATGGAATGCATAATTCAAGTCGTATTGAGCATGAAGCGTGCAGATTTCTGTGTGTGTTTTTTTTTTTTGCTGGATGTGCACAGCTGATTGCTAGGGTATCTCGCAGTCGCAGAAGTTTGTCGGCAGCACTCTTACTTGTTTATGGCTGCTGCTGTTTTAGCTCTTGGCAAACTTCCATGGACCGTTCCGGCATTCCGAAATTCGCATACCAATGCTTCCAGTTAAACCAATTCCAGTTTTCAATTGGAATAATGCCGAAGAGCTCTGCCACAGGTTCAACACACTCGTAACGCTGCACAGTCACCAGAGTTTGCCAGTTAGAAGCTGCAGACGTCTTACCAGCACTCAAACATCAACGCCAGTATAAGAGTGAAAATGACCACGATGTATAAGAGCGAAAACGTAGGAATGCGAGCGCCGCAACAACAGTGCTGATCTCTCTCTACCGTTGCTCAAGCAACTGCATCGATCGACTGAGTGAACTCAATCAACGGGCGAGTAGTACTCATGGAAAGTATGTATGTATGTGCATGTGTGGGTATATGCATAATTGAGTGTCATACAAGTCGAATCAGTTACGTTGTTACGTTACGTAAGTTAGATTGGGCGTAAGTTAATAAGAGCTTTTTGAGGCAGGTTCACGAAATGAGATAAAGCTGCGTATATATTATTATATTATAGGGTATATTTGCGTTAATAAACACTTTTATTACTGTTGTTTTATTTTAACCATGTCACTATCTTTAACTCTTAGCGCCTTTTCTTCTTTCTTTGCTCCCCCAAATATTCCCTAGCGACAATTGTTGCATCAGCTCTTGCGTCTGTTCGAGCTGTTCAGCCTCAGCTTTTCCGACTGCGACTTTCTTTTCCCTTTCACGCTCAGCTCAAGTAGGTGCAACTTGTTGTTGAGTTGCCTGCTTAGCCTCCCCTTTAACCTTCCCCACCTGCCATTCTAGCCTGTTATCATAAACAACCTTTCGCTTTCACAGCTGAACTTTGCATTTTCAGTTGCTGTTTAACTTTGAGTTTTTCCGGCTCGCAAATTTTTTGAAAGTGCATTTCGTTTCAATTTAATTTTGCGCCCGATCAATGGTTAATGAATGGTTGCTATAATTGACCTATAACTACTTTTGTCGGGGCATTATGTTATTAAAGATCTTTTTTTATTGGAGATATTACTAGATGGTAGATAGTATAGAGGTAGGAAAACGTGTTTAAATGGAGATAAGTATAATACTATAAGTACCATGGATATTATGGTATATTTACAAATAGACATCACCTCAAGTCGTATATGTATATCGCTTATATTTACAAATATTAGAGGTTCTTCAAAGCATATTACATGCTTTCCTTGCTTCTTCTTTTCGTCGCTAAATTACGCATTGCATGTACAGCAAATGTGGCAAGAGATATCGAGAGATATATGTACATATATGCATGCACATACATATGTCTATTACTATGAGCTCATGCCACAAAGCGCAGCAAGAATAGCATCAAATCGTCGAAACTTCCGGCATATGCCAAACATTAATAATAAACAACTTACAAGCCATAAACCAATGAGAGGCCGGCGGACAAGGAAAACACAAAAAAAAAAAAAATGGAAATAAAAAAAAAAAACATAAAATAATAGAAAGAGCCAACTACCACAGTATAAATTACAATTTGAAATAAAAGCGAGACAACTAAGAACAATTGCACCAAGATCTAACCGACTGCATAATATCCTGGGCTTTCAAAACAACATAGTAATAAATCACAGCTCGGAGGCATAAAATATTAATTAGAATTCTCAGTAGTTAAGCTTTTGCATTGCTTGTGGGCGGGACTCGAACGCCTTGACTTGGTCTTTAAACATCATTAGTAAAATATGAGATATAAACTCTCTAGTAACACATGACGGGATCATAAACTTAAGTCTAGCATTTTTCGTAGCTAAAAATATTCGCAATGTTGAAAGATTTGAAAGATTATTTATAATATTAGGCTTAAGGACTTTGATTTGAGGTAAAAAAAAAAAAACTGATTTTTCGTTTTAGAAACTCCTAAGATGGTTGCATTTTGTATAATAATGGAAACCTATTAATATAAAATTACCAGGGTATTAATGCCAGCAGGCAAAAAATTCACAAAAAAAAAGAGCATGAAAACACAAATTGCAAAGTCACAAAGGAAAATGCAATAGAAAATATGCACACAGTGAGTGTCAAAATTATTACTACAAGCCAGCTAGCTAGCTAGCTAGCCGGATGGACTGGACTGGATTGGAGTGAAACCGAATGGGGCTGAGTTGGGTTGGACTGGGCTGGGCTGGGCTGGTCTGCTAAACTAAATGGTAACTCGAATGTTGCCACTAAATTGGAAGGCACAAGTCACACTGGACGTGGACAACAACCATGATGGCGACAACAGACCGAGGACGGAAGCGACAGACAGATGATGCATGCTACACGCCTTGCACTTTACCAAGCACCCAGACGCAGCGTCAGAGTGACAGAGATGGAAGGGGATCCGCCGAATGGGACAGACTGACAACGGGACAGAGAGACAGTAAGACAGAATTAAGGCATTAACAGGCAAATTGTAACCATCCAAAAAACTTATTCGCCCCAAATTTGTATGCTCGTTCACGTAGTCCAGATAGTATATACTAATACTCTACAATATATAAAATAATATATTTATTGGCTGTCCATTATGCCATTGGGAACTACAAATATATAATTTGTAATATAATATTATATATATTAATATTAATATAATATATATATAATATATAATATTAATATATATTTTCATTTGTATTATCTATTATCCAAAAAGGGATCACTCTTCGAGCATCGATGTGTTCAATGTTAAATATATAATATAATTTATAATTTTTGTTTGTTTTCAGTATTTATAAGTAAACCCTACCATTTGTTTTTATTATTGTGTTTATGAAATTATATTATACCTATCTATAATATTCATAAAAGGAGTTAATTATAATAATTACTAAACGAATTTTTTGGGATAATTCCGGAAGGTTTTTTCAAATAGTTATATAAATGTCAAATAAATACATACGAAGCAAATTATATTTTTAGCAAATATTTCTACATACATATCTCATCTACATGTATATGTCATCTAAATAAAAATATATACATATATATAAATAATCCACTTATATAAATATATATTCATATTTATATATTTATATATATATATTAATATTTTATTTTTCCACTTTTATTAAATTTGGTGAAATCAAAGTTGGGAACGCCATAAAAGCACACAGAAAATATCAAATTAAATGTAACAAGAAGAGAGACAGCATATATTTTTTGGCACAGAGCCTGCCAAAAAAAAGGAGCGGAAAAAATATATGAAAATCGCCGACGGCTATATTCGGCCAACCAATACTCTCGTCTCTCAGCACAATGTATAAAAACTAATCACCTTTGGCTTAAAATACTTTCAAAGTGTCAATTGGAGCAAAGATTGAGAATATATAGAAAAAGTCAATATAACAAATTTTGTAAACAGCAGGTAAACAAAATATATGTATATATATGTAAGTGATGTGAGTATGCCGCAACTGCAATGCCAACACCAATCTCATAGGGCCAAAGAGCTGGCAGCCATTAAAATGCGCATCATCCGCATGCACAGCAGGATATGGTCAAAAATTGAATGCGAGCGCCGCCAACTTTATGATGTTAATTGCCAATGAACAGCTCAGAGAAAACTGTTTGGCAATTGCAAACGTGCAAAGAGGTTCAAAGAGGTTAACTCGAATACAGATAATAATTTAATCGGAAAATTATTAAAGTTATACAAAGTGAAAAAATCCTATCTACAAACTTAACGCGCATCATTAAAAGAATTCTATATCAACTTAAAAAGTCGCCTTGCTTTTTTACAGTCTAAAGAACAAATAATCCGAAATTCCGATAGTATTTAGCCTATATATATATCTTTTTCTAGATACTGAATATAATTAATTTTTGGTATTTTATTCAAATAAACGCATTTCAATTAACTTAACTTCCATTTTAGGTCTAGTTAAGAATATTTTTTTTGTTTAGTTTTTATTTATTATGTTAATGTATAGTAAAAAAAAACTGTATGTAAAGAATCATTGACATAATTTGTATCTTCAATAAACTTTCAACATATTAAAAAAATATATATATAGATTTTAAATAAATTATTCATATGTAAAATATATTTAATCAATTACTTTCAAAAAAACTTTTGAAGTATTAAAAAAATATATATAGCATATATAAATAAATATTTAAAAATCTCAAATACAAGTAATTTTTCACACACACATAAATATATAAAATATCAATTTTTTTATATCATCAGCATTTACATACTTTATATAAATATATATAAATATATATTGTTAAACTACTTCAACTTACATACTTTATATAAATATAAAAAAAGTATTATATTTATAAAAGTATCTCAATGTAATTTAAATTCAATTACAAAAATGTTGACGAGTTTTTATAAGTAGGTCAAAAAAAAACTCCATGTGGATTCTCTATGCACTTTAACAATCGATAGAGCAAAGGTAAATATTTGCACAGCAGCCAGGGCAGCTTAAAAATTAATTTCGGCCAGCTCTCGAACAAGTTATTTGAATAAGTCGAAACAAATGCCGAAAAAAAGTGTTTGGGGACCAGACACAATGCTGGGGCAAAGCCAAATAGCCTTGGAGTGCGGCTGGTCAAGGGAAATGGCAAAAGGCAAATGGCGAACGGCGAATGGCGAATGGCGAATGGAATTGGAAACAAGGATACACAAATTGCAAATACAATGTCATAAAGCGGGCACTCACCTCGGTAGAGTTTACTGCGCTTACTGCCAGCAGCAGTGGCAGCAATTGCTGGCGGTAGCTGTATGTGATGTTGTTGTTGTTGTTGTTGTTGCTGCTGCTGTGATTGCCTGTGTTGCTGCTGTATTGCAGCATCCAACTGCAGTAGCAATTGAGGCGTTGCTGCTGCTGCTGCTGCGGCTGCTTGGCCAATATTTCCATTAACATTTGTCACAACGAGCTTCTGTTGCTGCTGCTGTTGCTGCTGCTGCTGATGGTGCAGTTGATGCTGATGCGTGAGCAATGGCTGGCCATTGCCTACAGCTGCCGCCGCTGCTGCTGCTGCTGCCAATGCTGGCGGTCCATGAGCTGGACAATAGCTGCGATACTCTCCATTGATGTCCATATAGATGGGCGCCTCCACAAGTGGCCAGGCGCCGCTGCCGGCTGCAGCCGCAGCAGCAGCAGCAGCAGCAGTTGGTGCTGTTGTTGCCACTGTTGCTCCCGCTGCTGTAGGTGTCGGTGTCAGCGTAATTAATTGCACCGGCAACAGCTGGGGGCCATTGCTCGATTGCAGATGTATGTGCGGCATGCCCCTGTGCTGGCTGCAATGCGCCTGCTGTTGCTGCTTGGGCGACAACTGTTGCTGCTGGTGTTGCTGCTGCTGGTGTTGCTGCTGCGGCAGGCTCAGTGCATGTTGTTGATAGAAAACTGCAGCTTGCTCATAGCCAGCATATGCTGTACTCGAAGCCTGGCTTCTGTTGTATGCTGTTGAATGAGGCTGCATGGACATGTTGCTGTTGCAGCTGCTGCTGCTGTTGTTGCTGTTGCTGTTGCTGTTGCAGTTGCTTGAGGCAATTGGTTTCTGTGGCTTGGCTCTCAGAGCGGCGGGCTGAAAGGGCGGCGCCAGTGGCGTTAGATTCGACTGATACGCCTTGACCAAAGCGCTGCTATGAGCCGTTGGCTCTGGCTCTGACTCCGGCTCCTGCTCTGGCTCCGTCTCCTGCTCCTGCTCCTGCTCTGGCTCTGGCTCTGTGCTGCTGCAATGGGCTTGATTTGTCGACGCCTTGCGCGCTGCTTTAGCACTCGCCTGGCCGCTCGTTCCGCTCCGATTGTTGTTGCTGTCAACGATGCTGTGAGCCGTTGGCAGCTCGCCAACCACTTTAACGCCTGATTTATCGATTAGCTGATAGCTTTCATCGATGAAAGCGACCAAATCTTTGCAAGCCTGCTGCAATTCCTCCGATGTCGTTTGCTGTGCCTCCGCACTTTCCGCCTCCGCCTCATCGTCATCGTCGCTTTCGATAACATGCTCGATAATGCGTAGGTTCTCATAATCGATAATTCGCGCATAGCCCATTTTGAGTGCCAGATTCGTTAGCCTGGCCATCTCAACGTCCACATTGTCATTGTTGAAGGTAAAAACATCGAAAGCCCTCTGAGCTTCGTTATCAACAAATTGTTTTGTCTCCTTGGATGTTTGTTCCGTGGCGGCGTCTGTTGGAAAGTCGAGCAAAACAGTCATTTTGCCATTGATCTCACAATCGTTATCGATACTTGGATCGTTATCGCTATTTGTATCGGCTTTTGTACTTGTGGATGTTGTTGATTCGGGCTCTTCGGTATCGAATTCGGCCTGTAACTCTGCTGAGCTTGCCAAGACATTTGGCTGCTCCAACTCGTCGTCTACTTCCTCTTCTTCATCATCCTCTTGCACAGTTGGCGTGCTGTTATCGATAAATATCTCAGCAGCTTCGTCACCAGCTGGCGTCAGACAACTGTCATAATAAACACATTCATCGCACACCAAATCCAACTGTGCCTCAGTTGACGGTGTTTTCAAGAGGGAACTAACAGTTGCTGCTGCCATTATTACTTCCAGGTATATCTATTTATATGTATACCTATTAACCTCTTGTAATTAATTTCAAATTATTCTCGAATTTACTATCAAATGAAATTTAGTTTTGCATGGCATTATCTGTGCCAGTTTCTTGAGTTGTTCCTCCACTTCCTTTTTGCTCAGGAATATCATGTTTTCGTGATTTTGAATTTAAGCAACTTTTCTCTTTTCAACAAATTGAAAAATTCTGTAAGAAAAAAGAAGAAATAAATGAAGAAATGTTAGGATTGCAATATTAATATATTCTTGTTTCTTTTTTTATATAGTAAATACAAAAAATGAAGTTATTCCCTCCTTTTGTTTCAAAAGTACTCAATTATTTAATTTAATCGGCATGCGAAAAGATGGAGAACTTAAATGCAAAACTAAAATAAATGGTATATAAGAAATGCTTAAATTCTCTCTCTAACTCTTATATATGACAAAGTTAAAGCTGGTGTGAAGTATTCATAGATTTCTGATGTCATTTGTATTGCTTTTTATATAACAACTGAAAGAAATGAAACCAAGCAACAACAAATAAACTAATCTGAATTTCTGCAAGAAGTCGAACAATACAATTGTCTGATTGGCATATGACATTTTCGGGTCAGTAAATAAATAAACAATATGAATAAGATATACATATGTAAAACAATTCCAGCTGCTCTGAACGAGAGAGGTTACACACACACACACACACACACACACAGAGAGAGATGATAAATAGCTCAGATTAAAAAAGTAAAAATAAATTAAAGAGAAATATTTTCAAAATTTTTATTCATATAAATAAATAATATCTTCAATATATCTTGACATTGCAATAGATTTCATCAATCTTAGTCTCATCCATTGATTTTTTTTTTAATAAATAAAAAACACACATACGCCACGTAGAACACACAGAGCTTTAGTCAAAGCTAAAAACCGTAGCATACTTAAAAGGGCTGTGCACACGTAATTCTCATTATAATTCCATGCAAATGAACAGATCTGAGTTCCATATGGCAAGCCGCATGCAGAATTATGCAAATCCATAATTACATTTAATTGCGCAATTGACGCGTTTATCAATATGTTGCAGCAGATAGACGATTGCCACGTTTAGATACCCTTTCCAAACGGAAAAAGGGTAAAAAAGTGATTAAATTTGTGTTAAAATTTGTAAACTTTTATAATTTAGATAAAGTTAACAAATAGCTGAGCATTAACTCTTCATTAGTTTACAGGGTACGTTCAAGTCGTGCATCTCTGCCAGCTGTTGTGTGTGTGTGTGTGTGTGTGTGGCGTAAACGTGTCTGCTTTGACATTTAATTTGCCATATGTTTCGCCACAGTTGTCAAGCAGATTATTAGCCAACGTCGCAACACTATTTTTAGCTGCGGAGATAAAC